CAAAAGCATGATCCAAGGAAGAGCCATATGGACGAGGTGTGTCAAGTTCTAAGGCACTTGAAGAGTGCACCAGAGAAGGAGTTGAACTTTAAGAAAAGCGAGAATGTAGGCATTTAGGGCTTTTGTGACTGTCTGGGCGAGTTGTGTGAATAACAGGACACTGCATGTTCATAGGGGGCAACTTGGTCTTTTAAAAGAGCAAGAGATAGTCGGCAGTAGCGCGGTCAACAACAGAGGCAGAGTACAGGATCATAGCCTTAAGAGTTGCTGAGATGATGTGGATGAAAGCCTTATTTGTAGAGCTCAAGGGGGACCAAGGAGCTTAAATAAAGTTCTGGTGAGACAACAAGTCAGCAATCAGCATTGTTAACAACCCGATGCAGCACGATAGAACCAAACATGGGGAGATAGATAGGTTCTTCATCAAGGAAAAGCTGAATAATGGACAACTGGAGCTAATTCATGTCGCCAGTGGAGAGCTAGTGATTGATTGCCCCACCAAAGGACTTAGCTCATTAGATCTGTCTAGGTTATCTGACAAGATGAGCTTAGTGGATATAGTTTGCCCATCTTGAGGGGGAGTTGAGATTTGTATATCGTTTAGGGTCATATTAGTAAATAGTAATAAATATAGAAGATGTCTAGGAATTTGTTTGTAAGAACGTTGTAAGGCTCTTTAAAAGCTCAAGTCACTTATGAATAGAATATGGTTTTTAAGTAATTATTTCTATTTTATGCAAAATGTAAACAATAGAATTCATCATTAAGATAGTTGATAATTTTAATTTTTTGTATGACTTCAATTATTCAACAAAATGACAAGCACATAAGACCCCATACTTAAGATAAAATATAGATTTTATAGAATATTGATCAATAATAACTAAAAATTATCTATGGAACGTATTGCAACCTTAAGTAACTCTGCTCACTTGCACACAATAGCTAAACTATGCCCGTACCAAGAAACCTAAAGACAAAAAAGTTAGATGAATTGTTTTGAATGAAACGTTTTGGTCAAATGTGAGTTATGACACAATAACAACTGAGCTCATAATTAAACTTTTACGAATGGTGGACATAGAGAAAAAATAAATTATGGATTTCATTTATAATGGGATAGATGAGGTTAAGGATTTGGTATCACATAAATTAAGAGTAGAGGAATCTAGCTATTAAAAAAAACTGGCAAACATGCCACATAAAATTATCTTAGTTCTCAATTTCAATATGATGACAAGTAAACCATTGATGAGATCAAATATAATTTATACTATAGCATGAATAAATTGATGGTTGATTTACCTGGGAATGCAAGAGTCAATCTTCAACAGATAATTTAACAATCACTGGTTAATTTTCAGTAAATTTGAATCTTATTTCAATTTTTTTTTTTTTTTTCAAAATTAGTTGAATGACGGATTCAGTTGGGTATTGATTCTTAAGAACTGAACCAACTTGTTATTAAAGTAGTTACACTTTAAAGTAAATACATCTTGCCACTCCTAATTTCACTTAGTATGTTTCCACGCCAGATCATTTCTATATCACCCTATATTTGTCTCCTTCTATACATTTTAGAAAGAGTTAAGAAATTTTTTATTTCAAAAAATGTTGTATCATGCAAATGTTTACACAACAAAAAAAATTCCTATTTTCACTTCGTATGCTTCCATGTAAATGTTTTAAGAAACGTAACTGTGTATCATCTGACAAGAAGATGAGATTAATTTATTAGAACTAAATGAAAATATGACATTAAATAGGACGCAATGGAGAAAAAGGATTCATGTAGCCGACCCCACATAGTGGGATTAAGGCTTTGTTGTTGTTGACAAGAAGATGAGATGCTGTGGAGGAAGAAAACATGTTATGGTCCTTGACGAAAAAAAAAAAAAAGGCTTCCCAAGGAGGAGGCAGCAACAGCAAAGCTGCAAGGAGACTGAGATGACAGGGTTGTAGAAAGTAGATGGTGGTTAAGGCACATGAGTGAGATTGATAGGAAAAAACCGGTTGTGAGACAGGAGGAAATGGAATCGAGCAAGATAGATTATGTTTAGATGAACTAATAAAAGGGATCTAGTTAATATATTTTAGTTATATTTATTTTTTATAGTTAAATCATAATATGAGATGCATACTTTAATTTTGAAGTTAGGTGCATGTCACAAACTGTGAGATGTACGCCTCAGATAAGAAATCATAAGGCATTTTCTCATAACAAAAATTCCTAAAAGCGATCAAGACACGCACTTCTAATATTGTGCAATTTAAACAATGATCTTTAGTTATAATGGCTTCTTTCCCATATGAGGTGAATCATGGGCATGCAAGACTCTGATGCTTAATGTATATGGCAAAACAAAAGGGAGAGATGAATTTGTTCCTTTTCTCCTTTTCAAAAAAATATTTTTTATTTGACAAAAAAATTAAAGAAATGCACAATTTAAATTTTGATTTACAAGAAAAAAAAAGATTCAAAAGAAAGGCAAAAGTGAAAACTAGCAAGAAATATCACACAACTTTTACAAGGTAGAATCATACTTCTAAAAGATAACAAATTTTCATTGTCCTGAAAAGAAGTGCAAAAGCTAAATTACTAAGAAATTCAATCTAACGAGTTGATATGCAAAATCATTTGTCTAATAAAAAATAAAAAATAAAATGCACTACATCTCATCATTAACTGGTTCTTTGGCCTTGACTCTCAGATATTTATGAATGATCACCTCCCTTCACGACCAAATTACCCTCTTGCATATATAAATGTATGGTTATTTCTAAGGATAGAATAAAATTTTTTAGATGCTATGTTCTTGGATGATGACCCCTTCATTAGTTTTAGTTTATAGAACATTTCTTGATTTTCTTTTAATAACATAAAGAGCACCCAATTGGTTGAGAACTTCCCTAAGTTGGTAAGTTTTTCCTGTCACCTCAATATTTATGAGGACAAGATCCCAAGCATCGAGTTCTCTGACCTTACACTTGTTGAGAATTAACCTGGAGACACAAACTTTATGCACTTTGATTCAATAAAGAACAACATAACTTGTTTGTTCATGCAAATCCATGTTGACTCGTTTGTGCATTTTCATTTTTTTTTGAATTTGGCATTTGCTTCATGGATAGATAGAGTTTCTAAGGTGTGAGTTGTCAATTGGCGGATCCTAGTATAGCCAATGGCAAGAGAGAACAACATCTTCCCAGTGATTTGGAAGGAGTGCTGTGGTAGGTCGAAAGTGTAGATGGTAGTCCATCTTCCCAACTCTCATGATAATTAGTGATCTTCTTCTTGAGAAAGTTGAAGATGAATTTGTTGGTCACCTTCACTTAACCACAATGCATAAGCGTGAATTTGAAATTTACACCATTGTTGGCACAAAAGCCAATGACCTTATTGGATAACCAATATCCATTATTGACAAAATAGCTAAGGGCAAGCCAAATCGAGTAAACATCTCTGACTAGAGGAAGTTGATTATTGTCTCGATTGTTGGACGAACAAGTGAAATTGCTTCTATCCACTACCACAGCAAGAATGAATCATAAATTATGGAGAGGCCATGAGAAAGGAACCAATGAAGTCCCCCTATAGGGAAATGGTTAGGGTGAAAAAAATGCCTGCAATAATCTGCTTGGTTAACAAAGAACATTGCCCTCGAATTAAATAATGGTCTATTAATAGTAGCCATGCCTCATTCTAGCTTAGTCAAAAGCAAAGTATTTACCACATTACCATAACATCATTTCTTTCAATACTTCCCAAGCTTCCTGAGGCTCCAATAATCTTTGGCAAATTCTTGAGTAAAATTTCTAAAAAGAATCCCTCCAAGAGAAAGTTGTAGATTGGCATGTACCAAAAAGATGTCCAACTAATAGTGTTAATTTCTTCTACAAATTTTTGTCGAGTTCTCAAAAATAAATGGCATAAGGATTGGCAAAATTGGAGAAAAGATTTGCTACCTGATTTCCTTCTTGGTAGACATGCATGAGGTGGAATCTTGTCAATTTTGGTAGTTTGGACATTGAAATTCTTTAGTTTTGTAGTTTCCTTGTATTTGGTATCCTCCTAGTTAAGAGTCACAACAGATCTGTAACCTCTTGACCCCAAAATCCTAGAGGTGAGACATAGGCCCGCAAAGAGTGCTTCATATTCTATTGTGTTTGATTGTTTGTTGCTCTAGAGTTGATTTTAATGGAGCATAGAATAATGTATCTTTGAAATTTTGTGAGCACTATCCCAACATGATTTGCTTCTCCCAAGGTTCCATCAATGGTACATGTTCCAATAATCTTCAATATCAAGTTCATTGTAAGCAACTTCATGAATTGTGATTCAATGGCCAAATATGCATCAACATGAAATTTGATGGATGTGTGAGGCGTGAAATTAATCTTGAACTCGACAAGCTTAATAGGCTACCTTACTGGTCTCCTTAATAACTCGGGCTTTTACAGAATTTGATAGCGAGGGATATCAATAATGATGTTGCTTTTGCGAGATTGAAGTAAAGCTTCGAGAGTCCTGCTATAGAGACCAAAATAAGTACTAACATGTTGATTATTGGGTAGTTCAACCTATCACCACATTGAGTATTGTTTTAGCATGTAAGATGAAGTTTCATGCCAACTCAAAGGAGAAAAAAGCTGATTGTCGAACTGTCAACTATGAGATATGATAGAATATCCTCACCAGCTCTCAAACTATTAAGGATTGGGGTAGCTTTAAGGTACTATTTCAATCACTACAATGCTTGTTTACAATAACCATGCCACACTGTGATTAAACATCTATAAAATTTGAGCATTAGTTACTTCATCTCGACCTAGAGGTGAATCGTCACAGGCTAGCGAGTCTCTCAACCAATTTGCAATCTCTACACACTAACTTCGGTGAGGACAACTAAAACTACATTGACCTTATAGAGATTGGCTTTCAATCCCTTGATCGATAAAAGGCAGCCAAGGATTTTCCGTTGTCATCCTCAAATGGCACTTTATAGGGTTGAGCTTCATATCGAGGATCCTGAGTAACAAAAATGAATTGTCAAGGTCAGCAAGCTGCTTTTTACAAGAGCATCATAGATATAGACTTCAAGAATTCTCCACTTTTGAAAGTAAAAAAAGTTATTCATCTAACTTTTATATAAGTTATTTCATAGAATAAGTTTACAATAAAAAGTTCATTCATCTATAATAAAGTTGACTTGCTCCTCATTTTTACAGTGCATGTTGATTTGGTGATATCCCAAAGACATGAGAAAATTTAATCTAAGAAATTCAACTACAAAATTCACCATGGCATCAATGTTCAATAACGAATATGAATATTTAAGGAAAATAAGATTGACCTTCTTCAAATCAATGCAATCACCAACTACTAAATGATATTGGAGATCCACTCACAATAATGAGCATTCCAAATGAAGTTTGTCCTCTGAATTTTCTTAATCTCTACCATAACTATTACTTTGACCACATCGAATAACTTTTTTTCTATTCTTGAAAGAACATCTATTAGGTGTGATTGTTGAGGTGGTGATTAACTTGGGTTCAGCTAAAAAAACCTTAGAAGAATTGAATGCAAAAACATATATGTTATTTGTTAAAAGGAATTTGAGTTAAAAATAATAGTTATGTTATAAATATATGTTATAATATTGTCATTCGGTTCCAAGCCCAGATGTGAAAAGTGAAGAGTTGCGTTAGGTAGTCGACAACCAGCATAAAACTTGTCGAAAAAACATGACATGAATTCTTTTGATCATTGTGTAAGTGTTAGGGCGTCCCCTGGAAGCGACGCGCTTTATGGTCTAAATACAGAGTGCAAGGGCAGCTACACCGACGCTCGGGTGTAGTGTCAAATAAGCAATGGTTCTCACATTACGAACAAATGCAGGTAAACAATTTAGTCCATGAAACTAATATTAGGATAGGATCTTGGAATATCGGTACTCTTACTGGTAAATTAATGGAATTAACTGATATTATGATTCATGGAAAGATAAATATCTTATATGTTCAAGAAACTAAATGAGTTGGAGAAAAGGCTAAAGAGATTGCTAGTTTAGGTTTTAAACTTTGGTATTCAGGTAAGAGTCATACTAGAAATGAGGTAGATGTAATTACAGATAAGAGTTTGAAAGAAAATGTTGTAAAAACTAATAGAGTTTGAGATAAAATTATAGTTCTTAAGATTATTGTTGACATTAAGATTTTTAATATTATAAGTGCTTATGCTCCTCAAGTAGATTTAGATATAAGTTCTAAAGATAAATTCTAGTTCTAGATATAAGTTCTAAAGATAAATTCTGGAATGACTTAGAAGACTTGATACAAATGATACCTCTTGAAGAAAAAATTTTTGATGGAAGAGATTTAAATGGACATGTCGATAGACTGGTAGAAGATTTTAGAAATATTCATGGTGGCTACGATTTTGAAGTGATTAATGAAAAAGGTAAAGCTATATTAGATTTTGCTTTAGCATATGATTTTGTTATTGCTAATACTTTATTCAAAAAAAGAGATGAGCATATTATTACTTATAAGAATGAATCTAATAAAAACACAAATTGATTATTTTTTTATGAAAAATAAAGATCGCCTTGAATGTAAAGATTGTAAAGTCATTCCAAGTGAGGATTTAAGTACTCAACATCGATTATTAGTTATAGATTTTAAGATGAAGATGATAAAATAAAAAATACTAGAAATCATCGTCGTAGAATTAAATGGGGACACCTAAAAGACAAATAAAATTATTTTTATAAGTAAAATTCAAGATTTCAAACTTTGAGATATTCATGAAGAAGTAAATTTTATGTGGGTGGTGGAATAATAATGTGCTTGAAGACAAATAAAACCTACTGAACAAGTGACAAAAATTGTACTTAAAGAATCAAAAGAAAAAATTTCTATAAATAAAAATAGTTTGTGGTGGAATAATAATGTGCAAGAAAAGATAAAGTATAAGAAGATATGTTATAAGAATTGGATTAAATATAAAAACTTAAAGAACTGAGATAAATATCATACGGTCTGAAAAAAGTCTAAAAGAACAATCTGTGACGCTAAAATTTTGTTTTTAGTGATATTTATAATAGATTAGATACTAAGGTTGATAAAAAATATATGTATAAACTAGTCAAATAAAAAGAAATAAAAAAGTAAAGATTTAACTCAAGTAAAGTGTATTAAAGATGATAATCAAAAATTATTTTTCATAGAAAAAGATATTCAAAATAGGTGGGTGAGTTATTTTGATAACACCTGCAGGATTTAATAACAAGGCCCCTGATGGCTTCCTCAATGGAAATGCTTTCATTAACAGCAGCGAGACAACACCTTTAGGATTGGATGAGAATTCTATGGATAGTAATGACGTCCGCGACGCAAGGTGGGGAAGTTGACAACTACGAGTCAAGTCATGACAACAACTTTAAAGGAGTTGAGCAGAGGTTTGCCAGATATCAAATATATGGTTGTAAACAAAAGAGGATTGGAAGTTATTGAAATAAATTTGTCTAGTTTTATAGGGATCGTTATTTCCACAAATAACCTCTATGGTGATTTCATCTTTAGGATTGAACCTACCCTAAAATACTAAGTAACCTCAATTAACCTAAAGTTTTGAGTTAATTATTAGTCTCGACAAGTTTGAGAAAGAGAGAGTTGAAGAAGTTACACGTGAAAATTAATATCTGCAAGACATCATAACGGAATATGATTACCAAAACAATGATAGCATCATAAAAGAAGTTGTCGTATGGCGCCATACAATTGTTAAAGAAGGTAAGAAGAATACTAAGGAAAGAATTGGAGGAAATGTCGTGGTAATCTACAATCTTCTTAGACTTCTTTGTTGAGATTCTTTGATGATAACACCTTCAATGATAAATTCCAAACACCTTCAATGATAAATTCCATCCTTCCAAATAATTTTATTCCTCTCCTCACCTCGACAGCAATTTCATTTTCATTGGTACCTACTTGACTCAACAAAGGCTTGCTCTTTTATTGGTTGTTTACTAGCTTGACAGTTAATTAGGGTTTCTTTCAATTGTTCTTCCTTGATAAGCTCCTTCCTTTTAAAATATTACATTCTTAGTCTTGTGACCATCATAGTGGATTAAACAAAACTAAGCATTATCGTTGAGCTCAAATATTTTGCACATCAGTGTAGACCACTTGAAATACTCCTTCCTCCAAATTGCTGATATGGTCATGGAAAGAGGCTTAGTTTAAAGGAGAAAAATGAGATATCACTGAATTCAATCATAAGTCACAAGGGTGATCTCCTAAACTCACACAATAACTCCTACAATATGAACCTCCTAACGGAGGAATTAAATTGGCTATTTATAGTGGTGAGGGGCCAAAAAGAAACTATTATTGGCTTTAATCATCCTTTTACATGAGGAATTAGAGGTAAAAGAGTTTAGTACTTGAGATTCTCGAAGAAAATCTTTAGAGTTAATGAATTTGGAGGCATTTTGCAGGATTCCACCAAGGTTAAATATCTTGGCAACTGATAACTTAAAACTCTTGGGTACCCACTCTAAATGCCTTGTGTGCTCTATAGTGTATACTAAGGAGCTTTACTATTTGTCAAACAAAATGTAGAGAGAGACATCCATTAGCCTGAGCTTGACCTAAGAGGAAAATAAAGTATAAGAGAAGTTAAAATAATGATAAGTATAATGAGGAGCACACAATAAGTTAAAGTTATAATAAATTATGAGTATAAGAGAGAAATGGAATGAGCTCAAGGCAAAAGTGAGAAGATTGAAAGCAACATGTTTAGTTTTAGTCAAGACAAACGTCCATCTCGAGTGACAAAATTTTTATCTTGTTTCATAATTATATACTTTTGTGTATCTTTGAGTTATCTCTAGCTATAATGCCTTTTTTGACAGTTTAAAGCCAGTCATGACAATTCCTACATCATGTGCAAACTCTAATATTGTTCATCAGTTAACGACAGGTTTGCTTGGTTCGATTTGGCAGAGACAATAAAAAAGGTGATGTGTCGAAATAAAATTGAATCAAATGATTAATATTTTGTATCTATTATTTTATCATCTTCTAAGTAGCGTTAATTAGCTATTAACGTAAAGGACACGAATCTGTTGGAGTGGTCCAAGGCATTCCCGAGAGAGGTTGAGTCGTGGCTAAGTTGAAAGCTTTTCAAGGAAAAGAGAGTTTGTTCAAGTCGATGTTGTTACTGTGAAAGTTTCCCAAGGTGAATCAAAAAGACTCTCCATAAGGCAAAACAAAGGACTCTCCTAATGAGCGTCAAAATCCAATCATACTAGAATTTAAATTATGTTGTCACAAAGCTTGTCCAAGTAGAGTTCAAATGGATTCTTGGACATGCACAATTTTCAAGAAAAACAAGGAATTAATCCAAATTCTCCTCCAAGGAAGCCAAAATTAACACCCCTACCCCCACACAGCCCATCAAACCAAATAATGCATAAATATTGTGTTTTTAATATCATACAACATCAAATTGGTGAATCGACTATTCATCTTGAATTGCACCAAAAAATTTACAAATTGAATATTTAGATAAATACTTCATTAATTTTAACGGTTAATTTTATAGGATTGAAATTTTTTTAGTAGAATGGATTTACTTCAATAGAAAATTGCAATGATATTTTAATGATAGATGTTATAAACTATATGTTTATTCATTAATTTTAATAGAAGATAAAATCTTCCAAAGAAATTATCAACTAAGTTCATCAGTTTATTCGTAGTTTACAAATCAACATTAATGTTCTCAATCTTGCATTTGAAGATAATAGCATAGAAAATTAATCATGTGAGAATAGATATAATCAGTTTTAGGTTAGTGTTATAAAATTCAATGACCACCATGCATTAGAAAAAGTTATTTTATTCAATTTAATAAATCTATTTGTAATGACATTGGATGATAATAAATTTGTTTCAATCATAGTAATCTAGTTCCCTCTTACTAGATAATATCTTAACAAGTGGATAAGAGTACTTATGACCCTAAATGGGTTTATGTTAATTAAAATCTATTCATTGTACTTTATTGCTCTCAAGTTCTACTATTTTGTAATTATTCATTATTGTTGTTTTGACATCAATGCGAAGTTTATAGTGATAATTATTACTTCTTAAAAAGGATATTTGTATTTTCTAGACATTTTTTCACAATTTTCTCAAGAATAACATAAGATAATTGGTCATAAAACCTATACTTTTGCAAGAAAACTTTCTCTCTCTTCATGGGAAGCTTTGTTATTCCCTAGTTGTTCTTAGAAATGATAGTCTGAATTTTAGCTTCTTTCATCATTTCATTGAATTTTTTTACCACTATTTAATCAAGAAGGTTTTCTGCACACAGAGTAGAACGCGGAAATATGACAAAATTCAAATACTGTTCAAATCAATGAGATTGTGAAACATAAATAATGCTTCCCTTGAATTAAATCATATTCTGAATATTTTTTGATATATGGGTTAGATGCAATCCATCCCCCACATCGGTATAATACTGAGTCTAAACAATTATTCAATTGAGTGCAAATTTTGTGCCACTCGATAAAAAAAAAAATTAACGAATTTCTTTTGAAGCTAAGATTACAATATGCTATGAATACTTTCTTTAGAGAATTCCAATACACATGATATTCTCCATTGCTTCATATAATCTCAGCCTCCGCAGGATATATCATATGGTTTATGGTAGAATTTATTCTTGCCAAATTATCTCATCCCCCCACCTTCAGGTGCGTAATTACACTGAATACATTTATATGAGCAATTGTAGGATTTGAAATTTAGCGTGATATTCAATTCCCACCCTTTTAAGATATACAAATAAGTCTCACGGATTATATGATATCCTAATGGTTTATGAGGGTGGGTATTTATTTTAAATATATTCTTCTTTGGTACTCAATGGCTCATCTGCTACTTTGTAATCATCTTGACTCATTATAAGAATGACTTCACGGGAAGCTTTGTGTAAATGATTTCAGCATCAAGATCTTTCATTGTTTTGGTTTCTCCAAAATTAGAAGAAATAGACGTTTCACTGGTTAGAGGTTCTAAGCATTAAGATCAATCGTAATTGATGGACCGTTTAGTAAGCATTAAAGAGCATTCCTCGACCTTGAACTCTTGTTGAAGAAAAGAAAATTTTGACTTTACAATGAACAATTTAGAGGGAACCAGTAATTAACTAGATCAAATATAAAAAAGCATGAATATATTTTACATTCTAACAACTTATTACAACAAAATTGGACTAAAGTGAATCAACAACTTTTGAAACTCCTATCTCTCAAGAAGGTGACAATAAATTTCCAGCCATCATATGGATAAAAAGTTGGAAAAGCAAAATATAATTTAGCGAGGATATAACTCAACACCAAACAACAGAAATTTCCCGAAAACCAACACTTACAAAAAAGAAAGCAAGTATTAAGAAATTTAGGAATGCAGACATCAAATAAGCTTTACAAAAAAATATTTTAAAACATAAAAAGTTACAATAAGAAGCCATTATTATATATAAGCTATATTGCCAACATTTTTCATGCAAAACTGTTACAAAAAAAAATGCAAGAGATAGGCTTGAATTCGTATGAATAAAATTAGACAAATCAACCTTTTGTTCTCATAATAGTAATGCTACCCTTTCCACCTTCAGTACGAATTTTTGTTTTAACAACCACTGGTTTCCCTGAAAAGGCTGAAGTGGGGTAGGAAAGTGAAGCATCCTCATCTTTCGTGTTCTTAGAACTTAATGAAGGTGGGTGTAACCTTTGATTTATGTCCTTCAGAGTCAAATCACCCTCAAGTCCACATGGTTTTATGAGAGCGAAAGGATAGGCAACAGAAGAAGTTAACTTTGTTGATGTTCCAATAAAAGATTTTCTGCCTGGAAGTGCAAGATAAAAACTAAATGCAAGTCGAAGAATATCTATAGTTGAATCAACAGAGTAAAGCATAAAAATACCAATTCTGTGTAGACCTGAAGATTTGCTCTCTTGAACCAAATCTGTTTCGTGGACAATGGATGATTCAGACATCTCTACCAGAAAATTTTCAAGGATATCATTTATAAATATTTTGAGAAAATTTAGAACTCCAATAGGCCTCTGCAAACTTTTTATCATTATAAAGGCATGTGATACAAGTTATCAAACTGACCTGGGCCATGCCCTTGCAAATTAGATGTCTCATCACAATTCCTGCAAGTCCTCAAGAATGTTAAGATTTGCATATCGAGAAACAAAACTACTATGTAAAGGATAATAGCCACGAACAGATAATTTATCACTTCAATGGGAGCAGTAGTTTCATCTGTCTCATATTGCATCACACTTTCGTCAAAGCAGTTGTCAAACCAGCCCTCTGATGGCTGATCCCATGACTCTGAGTTGAATCCACAGTTACCCTCTATCATAAAATATGTCCACAAAGTTAACAAGTAATGAAATTCGTCACATCAAATATGAGAACAATTTCAGAATGAAAATTTTAGGAATAAATGAAGCAATCATTGATGGTTAGATTCACTGACCTGCTATTCCGATGTTGCACTGTGGATTCAATTCAGAATTTGTTGGTGATGATGGTTCATAATCTATTTGCTCATCCTCCCCCTCCTGAAGAAAATGAAGAAATTGCTTTAGTTCATCAAAACACTAATCAAAATGAATCTTTTCATCCCAAATGCCAATAACCACTACCTTATATCTTAGAAGAAAAGAAGTGGACTGCGCATTGCCAATGGCAGTTTCATCAGCATCAAGAGGGAAATGCAGCATCCGACGCCTTTTCCGCAGCGAAGAATCTCCACATTCCCCCAACATCTTGTTTATGTTGTCTGTATTTACAAAATCCTCTTGTTAAAATTCCCTTCAGTTCTTCAATCCAATATATATATGTATATATTGTTGAAAGCACGCGCACCTTCTATATCCATTGTTTGATAATCAAAATCTGCACAATCTTTGATAGGTGTTTGCACCTCCAACATGTACATAAAACTGTCCTCATTATGGTTCGCTTCATCCCAAAATGAGCAAGATATGTCTTTAGAGTCAAAAGTACAAACAGTATAAGTACCAGAATTTCTAAAAGGTGTGTTAATCACACTGTCATAGCAAAAACCCACCTTTCATCAAATTCTCTTTTAAATAGTAATCATCTCCTTGCCACTCCCACACATAACTGTTTCGTATTCAGCAAAACCAAAATTACAACACAAATCATTCAGTTAACACAATTTCAACAACTACTGTGATTTGTATGCGATTTTAAATAATTAAATGAATAGCCATAGTAGTAAGAAGAAAATCAAATAAAATAGGTTGCTCAAAATGGACCATCAGCAGCATATAATCAAGAATTAAATAAGCACATAGCGCGCAGCCCTAAGAAAAACTGTTTTCTTTACTATAGAAGGCAAATGTATGAACAGATCTTCATTCTCTCGATCCAATCCTCTCCGTGCTTTTTGAACAATCATCATTCTACGCCCCGACTACCATTTGTCAGAAAATCAATCGAAGAATGCAAAGAACACTTCTCGATGGCAAAAAAAAATAAAAAAATAGACATCAAACAAATCTAAAGAAAACAAAACAAAAACTACTGAAATCCAATATAATCTATAAGAAAAAAAAACGAAAAAACCCAGAAAAAAATCCGTAAAAAACATTATTACTGCGATCGATCAATAACTTCCTTCGAATCACAAAACCGAAATGCGATCACGATATTAAAAATCTCAAGTAAATATTGAGTTGAGTAAATCAACGAGGACAAATAAAACCCACTTGTTATCTGTTCCCTGCTCGTTCAAATCCATAAAAGAAGTATGCGATGCAAGAACAGGGCTGAGCATTGAGGCTGCTCAACTTCTTTCACTCGCTCTCTTATATCTATAAAAATTATTAGCGTTAAACCCCTTCTTAACACTTAAAATTATACTCATAACCCCACAATCTTTGCATGCATCTACGCTATATACCATATACCGTATACTTGTTTCCTTGATGGGCTAATGAGTCCAAAGTGGCCTACACGATCCGAGCTTTGAGCCAGATGACAGTGTATTCGTGTTCTGCTCGGTCATATTTTTTATAGGTTGAAATTAACTCAGTGCTTGAAATGGCTAGTGTCCACCTTTGGCTTGAAAAAATATTTTTAAATTAATTAAAAAAATAGGGCTGTCAAAATGGCTCGTTGCTCGTGAACAACTCGTGTTCGGCTCGTTCGCTGAGTTAATGAGCCAAACACGAACAAAAATTTGTTCGTTCGTGTTCGTCTTGTTTTGACTCGAAATACTACTTATCAATTATATATATAGTAGTATTTTTAAAAAATTTAATTGACTACAAGGCTACAAAAATTTATAATCAATTAAAGTATTAATTCAGAAAATATAATAAAAATTATTAGATTTGATTCAAATGACATTTTAATATAAACAATAATTTTTAAATCTTGCCACAACCCTTCACATCTTATGGTTACGTGATTAAGATTATGATAGCTACGTGATTAGGATTGTCAAAATGACTCTATGTTCGTGAACGGCTCGTGTTCGGCTCATTAAGCAAACGAGCCGAACACGAACACACTTTTTGCTCTCGAAATATAAATGAGCCGAACATCAGCTGAGCCTAGGCTCGTTTGCACCCCTTGATGTCGGTTGTTGAATTAAAATGTGCATCATTTTTAATACAATAAAAGACTCATAATTACATCACAAACATGAGCAATGATTATATAAACTTATATAAAAATATATGTAATATATTATTAAATTAATAATCTATATAACTTTTTTTTAATTTTGAGTTAAAACGAGTCGGATATGATGATAGTTTTGTAATCCGAGCTTTGAAATTTTATTCGTATTTGACTCACTTACTTAAAGGAACGAGATGAATACGAGCAACTTCTTGCCACAGTAAAACATTAAAACATGGGTTTTCTATTAAAAAATAATTAGAGGGAAGTAAGCGGTTGATTTGGCATATAATGATTACTAATAATAAGCTTCTAAAACAGGCTTAAGGATTAAATTTTTAAATTAAGAGAATCTAAAGAGACACCGCCTTTTGTAACTGGAAAACCACCACGATTGTACAGAGACATCTGTGTGGTCCAGAAAGAATTGGGTGTTGGCTGGTGGTGAGTTTTGGGTGGAATTTTTTTTTAAGTATTGGTAGTTTCGTCGTTCTGCTTGCGAAGGTCGGGGTTGATCGGACGGTCGAAAATACCGAAGGTCAGTAGAATTAATGGTTTTGATTTTGTTGAATGAAGGATCTACTAACGGCCAGAGGATGGGATATATAAGCCGGTTTGGAGAGGGGAGGCGGCTCAACGTGTAAGATCGTGGGGGACGTGGTCAATGCAGTTAAGCGGACAATAATAAAAACCGAGTTTTTTGTCTGCTTATTTACGAAAAAGAAAAAACATTTACATGCATGTCATACGGTTTTTATATATTTATATATTTAATATCTAATTTAAATTTTTATCTTTAAAAAATTTAAAAATTTGATACACCACCAACAAATTTTCATCATCCAACACGAATCTCGAGATAATATTTTAAACAATAGATATTCAAATCTTGATAAAAAGTCATCCAGAGCTCTGATTTCAACAAACTTATAGTCAAAATGACTTATTCAATTAGACAGACTTAATAATATGAAAATTAGCTCAATCCAAGTCAAACCAAGCCTATATCAAGTCTTAAACCGCACTTAAAAGATTTACGAATACATTTTGAAAGTTAAACGGCTGTCAAATATGACAAGTTTATACTCAAATCGAGCGGCTCGACAAAACGAATCCAACGAACCCAATATCGCTCAATTCTGACATCATTAAGGCACTCAAATGTCCATTAAACGACGTATGATCGAGGGAAGCTCTTCGGATCGGCCGATTAAAATGGTTCATATTTCTGCAATAATTGCACTCAGAACACTATAAATAGATCTTCATCTCTCTCATGAGGGAGGAGGAAGTCTATAGGAAAAATTATTCCATGCGGATCGGCGACTGCGCGCAGCTTGCGTGCGGTGCGGTGTCCGATCCGGACCGTAAATCACCTGATCTACTGGGCCCCACCTAAAATTTTTTATTTTTTTTTAAAAAAACGGAAATAATCCTGACCGTAGATCACCGTGATCTACGGCCAGGATCGAACACCGCATGCAGAGATGCATGCGGTGTCCGCACGCAATAATCTCTCAGTCTATAGAGAGTCTGAGGTCTTGAGAAGAAACTGCAGCTCAGCATCACCACCAATTGTCGTTGATCATCGTCGTCGACTAGCATCAATATTTGTCGTCGAACGCCGCCGACCTCAGACTACCACAGCCGATCGTCGTCGACCACCGTCGACCTCCACCTAACGTCATCAATCACCACTAACCAGACGCCGTCAGTCGACATTGTAATATGAAAAATATAGTTACTTTTTCTCATTTGTGGGACAAGGAATTTCTGTAATCATCAATAAATAGTAGATTTCTCCAACTGGGTGTGGATTTCCGCAACTGGGTTAGGCCCCATGATTTTTCTCTAACGGGTTTTCCACGTAAAAACTTATGGAATCATTACCGCTTGTTTTCTCTTTCATATGTGTGTGTCCTAAACTTCGTACAATGCTAAGACGATAGTTTGTTACTCTACTGCCGTGAATTTTCTAACACGCAAAAACTCAATGTTTTAATATAATATAAAATTTCAGTGTTACGAACTTTTAAATACACATTTTCATATGTAATTAAAATGTTGTAAATATAAAAAATAAAATTGTATTTTATCGGTGGTGAATAAAAACTATGTAATATGCATGTAAATCATAAAAAATAAACTTGATTTGTATCTAAGATAAGAATAATTCATATTTAAGTTTTATTTTACAAATAATTTTAGATTTATTAATATTTTTTAAGATAAATCAAACTCAAAATTATTTTATAAGACTTTGGTCGACATTACAAGGGCTTGCTTCTCAAATATGTATTGTAATTTTTTACTTATATTTAAGAAAGCATTTGACAATCATAATATAGGTATTGATGTGTGCTAGAAAATTTGCTGCGGTTGAGTAATGGATTATCGTCTTAGCGTTGCGCGATGATTCAGCACACGCACAGATGAAAATAAATCAAGTTGTGACGACACCAGCAAGTTTTACGTGGAAAACCCGTAAAGGGGAAAAATCACGGGGTCTTACCCAATTGTAAAAATAAACTATAAGTTGATGATTACAGATATCCCTTATCCCACAGGCGGGAAAGGGGTACTAGCTTTTAAGTTACAACGTCGACTGACAACATCTAGTCAGTGGTGGTCGACGGAGGTCGACGGTGATCGGCGGTAATCGATGACGGTCAGCGGTGGTCGATGGAGGTCAGCAGTGGCTGACGACAGTCGAGGACGGTCGGCGGTGGTCGACAGAGGTCAGCTGTAATCGATGGTGATTAACGGTGGCTGGCGGTGGTTGACGGATGTCAGTGGTGATGGTCGACAGTCAGTGGTGGTCGACGGCGATCGACGATGACAAGGATAATTTTGGACTTGAGCTCCTTCTCACAACCTCAAGTTCTCTCTTAAGTCTCTCTCCTCTCATGTGAGGGGTGAGACTCTATTTATAGTGTTTCGTGTTCAATTAATGCAGAAATATGAACAATTTTGATCGGACGGTCCAGAGAGCTTCCCCTTGATCAGATGACATTTGATGGACATTTGAGTGCCTTAACGATGTCAGAATTGAACAATATTGGATTCGTTGGATTTGTCTTGTCGAGACGCTTGATTTGACTATAAACTCGTTATATTAGACATATGTTTTACCTTTCAAATGCATCTGAAAATCCTCCAAGTGTGGTTTGATGATTTGATCCGGGTTTGATTTGACTCAAATTGGACTGAATTTCATATCTTTAGGTCCGTCTTCGTCTCTTCGAGCCAATCAGTTTGACTATAAGTGTGCTGAAATCGGAGTTTCGGAGGACTCTCAATCAAAGTTGGAATGTTTATTTTTCAAAAAATTGCACTGAGATTCGTGTTGGATGATTAAAATTTGTTGGTTGCGTATCAGTTGCCCCTATTTTCGGGCGAAACAATTTTTCTTTTTTTTTCGCCTGAAAATATTAATATCATAGACTTTTCATAAATGGCATAAAAATTTAAATATATATACTTTATTGTTATAATATGTAAAAAAAAAATCTTTATCCTTAATAAACTAGTAAGTTGAGTCTAACTCAGTTGGTATGCGGCTTTTGCCGTTTGTAAGTGGTGGGGGTTTAAATCCCACCAAAAATAATATACAAAAAGTTTTTTACAATGTCAAAACCTGACTCGCCACCCGATGGTCAGATCACATGTGACCCGGCGGGCCGAGCGAGACCCGACTGGCCTCTCGAATCTGAATCGGGCCACAGAGAGAGGGAAGCCGAAAAGAGCCCAAGTAGCATGAATTAATTAATTAATTAAATTAAATTTGGAGAGCTTAAGCAGCTATTAATTAAGTAAAAAAATCCAAAACATACTTCAGATTTTAAATGGGAGCTGAAGCAGCAAAAATTAAATAAAAAAGAACATTTAAATGTATTTTTTTAAAATCACAAAATGTGAAAAGTTTTTTTTTATCAATTTATTTTTTTAATTAATTTCAGCCATAAATGCTGAATTTTAAAGGCTAAGAAACTGAAGAAATATGAAATGATTTTTTTTTAATAAATAATTATTTTTTTAATGACTAATTAATTTTATCATGAACATAAGGGGGTTTTTCAGGCTATAAATAGGATAAGGAGAGGAGAAAAAAGATGGAGTTTTCGTCCCTGTCTAGAAGGTGATCCGATATTTCCCAAAAGAAAAAAGTCGTCCCCGTCCTGTGTAGCAGACAAACA